ACTCCTGACACCCAAGCCTTAGATTGCAAGGGACATGCCTGTGTCAGTCAGGAAAGTGGCCCCGTGGCCCTGAGTTCAATCAAGGAACTGAAGAAAGGAAAAACAGAAACATCATTTCCCACTAAAAAGGGAGCCAGGGCTCTTTGCACAAAAGGCTGATTCCACAGCTGGGGGGAGGGCGACGCCACTCTGTGGTAACATGGGACAGAAAGGAAGTCCCAATGACAAGGGGAAAACTAGTTCTGCGGTTACATCTGACAGGAGTGGCGACTGGCAATAAGTAACAATGTACAAGCACGCCAGTGAAGAGGGGTGATTTCTTAGAACTGTGATTGTTAATAGCAGTGGTGGAATTAAGGGGAAAATCATAATTCCACACTGTCTGCTTCAGACAGGAATCATCACTAGACATTAAAATCTAGGGGCAAGGTCTGACGATGGTCCAGATACCCACATGTCCTTCAGGTGTCTGCCCCAGACAGTTTACTCATTCCAGGGGTAAAAATACTAACTACAGGGTGAGAAACCAGACCATACTTGAACCAGACGATCAAAATTAACCACCAATAAAGGTCAGACAGCTGCCACGGGTCTCCAGATGAACATTATGTTCCAGTCGGAAATTTACACCCTGAATCTCATCCTATGGGACCTTCATAAACTCAAGACTGAGGCTGGAGAGATGGCCCAGCGTTAAGAGCACAGCTGCTCTTCCAAAGGTCCCAAGTTCAATTTCCAGAAACCACAAGGCGGCTCACAGCTATCTATAATGAGATCTATAATGGTGCCCTCATCTGGCAAGCAGACATCCATTCAGGCAGAACACTGTATTAAAAATAAATCAATCTTAAAAATAAATAAGTAGTGTTGGTGGTGCATGCCTTTAATCCCAGCACTCAGAAGGCAGAGGCAATCGGATCTCTGTGAGTTCAAGGCCAGCCTGGTCTACAGAGCGAGTTCCAGGACAGCCTCCAAACAATACAGAGAAACCCTATCTCGAAAAAACACAAATAAATAAATAAATAAATAAGTAAACTCAAGACTGGACAGCATTTCATAAAAGGTGTAGCATGTATTCTTCGATGTCAACACCATTCAAGAGAAAGGGTGTGGCTGTGTTGCAAACACAGAGAGATACAACTCAATGCCTACAGTAAAAATGGAGGGCTGCTGGCCTCAGGCGCACGAGGAGGATAAAACACATTATTCAAACTTGACTACAGGAGGATGGGATTATAATGACTGAGCTGTCTCAGTTAAATCCCCATATGCCATAAATACACCCTGGCTACAGAAAAGAATATGGATGTTCTTAGGAAATCCACACATGAGTGTCACTATATAAATGGCAGGACATATGCAACCTACTTACAGAAAAGTTCAGGAAAAAAAGTCACGTGTGAGGAGCTGAGAGCACAGACTGGGCAACATGCCTCCTTCCCTCTCTCTGCCGTTGCTGCATCTCCCCTGAAGGCTTCTCAGTGCTTCGGAGTAACTTCAGAACAAGCGGACCAATAATGCCAAATTGCTGTGAGGGTTCCCTCCATGAGCATCAGCTTAAACCCTACCCCTTCCCCCCTCCCCACCAACTACCTCACTTCTGCATACCAAACTTGGCCAAGGCAAAAAAATCGGCTTTGAGACGCTTGTTTAAAATTTTCAGGCTTTTTAAGTGATAAAATGCTAAAACAGAAAAGGGATGGTAAACAAACATTTGAGAACTCTGGGGATTTACATGGATGTAGCTGTTGCATTTCGGTGGTACAATGTGCAAGGTGAGCTTCGGTGTCCAGGATGTCTAGCACACCTTTTGCTGCAGCGCACACGAGAGGGACCGGTAAGCAAAGATACGTGCACTCTTGTAGGAGACACTCTGAAGTGGGTCAAAGGGAAGCTCCCAGGTGGCCACCAGACAGCAGTGTGTTTGGTGAGGGTTAGTACCCCTATTGCAGGCCAAGGAACACCTACCTACACATCAAATGAACGTGGTTTGCTACAAGGTGCAACACAGATCAAAAGATCATCTGTGTGAAGGTTCGGAAGGCTGTTAACTCGAGTAGTAAGTGCCCAAAAACAGTGGCCCAAGGCCAGGCAGAATGCTGACTGTGATTCACCCTAGGACAACCAGAGTAAGGCACAATCAGAGGAAGGGGCAACACTCTTTACTTTTCCTAAAAGATCATGAGCTGTTTGTATCATTTTCAGGAGCCAAACATTTTGTATCTGGAGAACTAATTTGCAATGTTCTTTGATGAAATAGGATCTCAGTGAAGAACAAAAAAAACAAAAAAGTGTCAGAAAGGCTAAGTTTTCCCTCGTCTATGCTTGTTCAAGGGCTTGGGTCCTTCCAAGTTCCATGTTTTTCATCTTTTTAAATTAACTAAATCAACAGCTTTTTTTTTTTGTTTTTGGAGATAAAAATCAATCCTAAAATAAAAGTTCCAGTCACATGGCAAAAGTAGCAGCAGTTAAAGTGATAACAAATAAAAACACCAACAACATCTTCAAAAGTTTATCTAGGGCTAAGACAGTACAGAGTAGGGTCTAAACCAGCAGCTCTCAGATTGTGGGTCGCCACCCCCAACCCGGCACGCTGTGTGGGTCAAAAGAACCTTTCACAGGGGTCGCCTAAGACCATCAGAAAACAGCGATGTTTACATTATGATTCATGATGATGGCAAAATTAGTTATGAAGAAGCAACAAAAGTAATTTTACGGAGCGGGGTCCACCACAACATGAGGAACTGTACTAAGGGTCGAAGTGTTAGGAAGGTTGATTTGATGACGATGATGTCAATAATGTGGCCTATCTGTGACAGTGGAGGAACAATAATAAACAGCTGAACTTTGAGCTGCTGACTATCTTGCTATCTATTTATGAGCAGGGAAGATGACCAGCGTGGTCTACAGGGAAAATATCTGAGAACCCAGAGCAACAACAGCAGACTGCTAGCCAACAAGAAGGGTTTGTTCTCTCGTAGTCAAAAGAATCTAGTGAAGTTGAAAAAAAAATTGGGAGCCGGGCGTTGGTGGCGCATGCCTTTAGTCCCAGCACTCGGGAGGCAGAGGCAGGCGGATCTCTGTGAGTTCGAGACCAGCCTGGACTACCAAGCGAGTTCCAGGACAGCCTCCAAAGCCACAGAGAAACCCTGTCTCAAAAAACCAAAAAAAAAAAAAAAGAGAGAAAAAAACTTGGGGACTACCTTTCTCCCAATAAATTACTCTTTCACTTAGGCAGTTTGGCTGAGAAATTAGCTCTTTCTGCACTGTTTGTAACCTAGTCACATTCAAGGCACTTTGCAGTCAATCACCTGTGACTCTAAAGAGGTGGCTGGCATCATAAAACTAGACTCAAGTGCCAATCACAGATGATCTTTATTTGGGTCTGGTCTCCTACGCAAAGAAGCATATCTCCAGGACCCCCAGGGAAGCAATCACTTTCTCCTGCCTTCAGGTTATAGGAATCCTGTCCTTAGGGGCAAGCTGACTGTATATCCGATATGTAGGAGGAAATATCTTAGCCAAGAACCTCAAGAGTGTAGTTCCCTAACTCTGACGTGGTCTTTCAACATTTCCTGAACGTAGCTCAGCTCCAGTCTGTGTGCCTCTTACAACCACGATATACAGTGGGTGCTGGTTTCTGATTCTAGGACACTGTAGCAATGAGACTTTCGGTGTGTCACTTAACCACGCTTGTCTTAAAATGTATTACCTTAGCAGGGTCTGTTGGCTCATGCCTAAACCCCAAGCCACTCAGGGAGACAGAAAGTTCAAGGCCTGCCTGGGCTACAGAGAGTTCCAAGTGGCACTTAAGGTTAAAAAAAAAAAAAAAAAAAAAAAAGCTGGGGATGTAGGTCAGTGGTAATGCTCTTACCAAGCCTGTCTGAGGTCTTAAAAACCAATCCTCTACACCACTGAAAGAAGAAAAAGAAAATGTGTAACCTTACCAGCCTAAACCTGAACCACTTTATCAGCAAAGCACAAATCACCTCTAACGATTGTTGCAAGTCAGATATCCAAAGAGTCCCAAGTCCATCCTACTATTCATATGTCTACCGCCCATCCGCTGTGAGTAGAAGGATGAATTACAGTCTCTGCCCTGGAGTAGACCCTGTGCGGTTCTATAAATCGTGAATTCACAAACTACGTGACAAATGCAAGGAACAGTCTATAAAAATGAACAAGGAAAGAATGCATGGTTTATATGGGTAGTGATCTATGTAACAGGCAGGGCGTGTAGCCTACCCAGGAGGCAAGGTTCTGCACAGCCGAACCACGCCTCCCAGCGCAATCAAAGACAACGGAGAACCCTCCTCGAGGGACTGGGAGTGATCTTGGATGAGCCAAGACAAGTTTAAAAACATGCAGTTTGTTTTTCTTCCCCTTCAGCGATGCTACCATGCAGAGTAGCATCGGATTAGCATCCTATGCATTTGGGTACCTTTTACAATTACTACTCCCGGTTATAAGCAGATCTTGAGCTCCAGGGAGAATTTACTTCCCGGTCCAGAGAAGAAAACCAAGTTCCTTATTTTTACTAACAGCGCCTCCTCCAATCAACACTCGCCTTCCCTAGGGCAAAGGGGCACGCCTCTCCGCGCCACCAGGAGCCAGTGTGGCCGCTCCTGGGGGGCGCCCGGCTACCTAGCCTCGGGGACAGGGGTGGCTTGGGACGCTGGGAGCTGGGGACTCGAGGCTGGGGGCTGGGGTCGGGAACAGCGGAGGCCGGGGACTGCCGGGTAGGGAACAGAAGCTCCCTGGACAGCTGTGACCGGGATGGGAGGCCAGGGACTGTCAGGGTGGGGACAGCTGAGACCACGATCCGGAGGCCTGGGACTGCAGGGTGGGGACAGTGGAGGCCGGTAACTGAAGGGGTGGCGACCACCGAGGCTGGGGACAGCGGAGGCCGAGGACTGCCGGAGCAGGACACAGCAGAGGCCGGGGACTGTCCGGTCAGGGTACAGCAGAGACCGTGGAAGGGGACCCGAGGCTGCACTCACCCACTTTGTCCTTGCCATACATGTGGCCAGCCACCTGATGCGACAGCGGCACGCAGCCTCCGAGCAGGCGCGGTACTGGCAGGCTGTCCCCGGTGCTCCCCGGCGGCTGCAGGCGCAGCGCAGGGGGCTCGGCGGCCATCGGGGCGGCGACACTCGGCGTCAGGCGTCAGGGAGGTCCGGGCGGAATCGCCCGCGCAGTCGCAGCGCGCGGACCCATACCGAGACCGCGCTGCCCGCTCCGCGGCCCGCACTCTGAACCCGGGCCGCCCGCGCCCGGGATAAGGGCGCCTGGGCCCCGCCTCTGCCCGCCCCCTGCTTGCTCGGGGCCGGGACGGCACCGCTCTGAGCATGCGCTAAAGCTACTAAGACTGGATCCGGCCGCGCCGTGTGGAGCATGCTCAGAGGCTACCCCGCTGGATCCGGGCCAGCACCTCACTGAGCATGCGCAGAAGCCGCCGGCGAGACCAGTTCGTCCCTCCACGAGCGAGTCTGGAAGGCTGACCTGCGTCGAACCGAGCTGGTTCTGAGTCTGAGCCTGCTGCCGAACAGCACTGAGCATGCTCAGAGACTGCAGGCTTGGACTGTTGTCCCTCCTGCACACTATTGGCTTCATCACCAGCATCCCAGAGCTTCCCGGGGCAAACAGGCATCCCAGGTGCCTCCCAATGCGAGGCACACCACCCCTGGGAGACGGCAGCAGGGCAACCCAGAGAGGTGGCTGGTCATGGGCAGACCTGCCACCGCGTCCTGCCCTCCTGGATCAGAGACGGGAGCACCCTGAGTGAAGATGTTTCTTCTTACACCTTCCATTTGGCACTTAGCCGGACCGCTGCCCCGGCGTGCTCGTGACAAGTTTATGTGTTAGAGATTGACAGCCATCCTAAAATCCGCTTTAAAAAAAAATTGTCAATTGTATGTGTATGCCGATGCTCAGGGAGGCCAGAGGAGCTGGAATAACAGGCGTTGTGAACCCACCTCCGTGGCTGCTGGGAATCAAACTTGGGTCCCATGCAAAACTACATGTGCACTTAATCTCTAAGACTCTGCGGACTTCTGAATCGTTTGTTTTTTTTTTTAAGTGAACACTGTATTTTAAAGGGATGAACCACTCTGCTTGTGTTTGTTTATTCATGGCAAGGCTGGGAATTGAAGGCAGAGCGTTGCTCACGTTGAGCAAGCACTATACCGTTGGGCAAGCCCAGTGCCGCTTAACTGCCTCACCAGCCTGAGCAAACTTTTGGTTATTGTCTTCCTCGGGCTCTCTGGGTAGATGACTGGCGAGGTCAAAGACAGAAGGGATGGAGGCCCAATGTGGCTAGCAGAGGTTCTAGATGCAGTTCCAGACCATGTCCGTGTGTCCTGCACGGGCATCCTATAGCAAAGCCTGGCCTTGCGGGACCCACAGCGGAGCTGGCCACACCTTGCGTTACCTATAGCCAAAGCGGGCTTATGGCCAACCATAAAGAACTGGCAGGCCATAGGGCGACAGTCCTGCAGGTACTTGTCCTGAGTCACCAGAAACGCTCACAACTGGACCACCTGTAAAACCCGGCCTGGATAGGCTCTCCCGGCCGGCGCAGACGCAGTCACTGCCTTGGCTCCCAGAGCTGTCAAATCCTCACCGGTCCTCTAGGTTGGGCCCGCTGCGCATGCGTGACTCTACCGGCGCACACACGCTCCCCCAGCTAGCCGCGGCGCCTGCGCAGTGACTGTGAGTGGGCCGGGAGGTCGCGTCTTCCCCGGATCTCCGTGGTGCCCAGCGCTCGCCCGCGCGGTCCTGCCACGACCTTCCCGCTGCCCCGCACCATGGGCCCCTGCTGCGACTCCTCAGTGCGAGGTGAGCCGCCCGCGGCCGGTCCCCGCCACTCACTCTTATCCGCACCGTCACCTTGACCTGCACAAGGGCAGGCGCAGGCCTGCGGGGAGGTCGCGGGTTGCCGGATGCTGGCGCGGGCCGCATCCGGGCCCTGGACCACTTCCCCGTCCAGCCACGCTGTGAGCAAACCAGGCTAAGTGGGTCACAGTCCACCCCAAAACTCCTCTGACCCTTAGCCCCTCCCAGGGCACACAGAGGCGGCGTGGGAAAATTGGCAGCTTCCTGCGACCCTGGCCTCCGGGAATGGTCATGCCGTAGACATTTTGCTGGCTTTGTGATTCAAGGTGAAGAAATCCAATCCAAGCGATGTCTTAAGTTTCCCAGTTTCTTATGCACCTTGCACCCGGCCACTGGTGGCAGTGGTCCAAGAAACAACTGAAAATAGCCTTCTTCCCTAGCTTTGAGAACAGTATTTTGAAGAAATCCGGTTGAAATACAGAGAATTTGTGAAACTTGGTTAGTGTAAGGTGATAAACTTGTTAAAATTGACCACAGGCCATGCGTTATGCAGAATAGCCTCTGCCCAGGTATAAAATGCCACACCCCAGGGTTTGGTTACCTCTAACCTTAGTTGAGTAAAGGTAAAAGTTAAATACGATGAGCCCCATTGATTCATTCAGCAACTTTGATTATCTATAGTAATCGATTCTGTAACCATTCCTAACTCGGACCTTAATGTTGTAGTAGTTAGGGTTCTATATACTGGAAGGTTCTACCTTATGTCGACGATACTGACTTGGCAGGTGAGAGGGAGAAAAACTTTGTTGTGGTTGTTGTTGTTTTAACATCTGTCTGTGTAAGTGTCACTGGTGCCATGGCCCACGTGGAAGTGAGACTACAAGTTGTAGGAGTTGATTCTCTCCCACCCTGTGAGTCCCAGGGATCAAATTCAAGTTGTCAGGCTTGGCAGCGGGCAGCTTTCCCCGCTAAGCCATCATGCTAATTGCCCAAACATTTTTAAGTTACTAAAAAGACAAAGATAATTCTTTTGCAAAATTTACTTCAAAGGATAGCCATCTTGGGACTCCTTTAAATACACTAACTTTGGTGAGTTTAATTTTCTTTATGGTTTTTGAAATCTGGGGTTTTCTCTTATTGTTTTGTTTGTTCTTCGAGGTTTGATTTTTTTTGTTTATTTGTTTGCTTTTTGAGACATGATCTTTCATTGTAGCCCAGGCTAGGCCTGAACTCAAAATCTTCCTGTAGCAGCCTCTCCAGTGCTGAGACCTGTGCCACCACACCCGAAAGAACAATGTTCTTGGCAATAAAGACTACTGCATAAAATAAAACCCTCAATGTGGTTTGTGGTGTGGTTGTTTTAATTTTGTTGGAACACTGTTGCACATGCGTGAGGAGAAGCCAAAAGATTGCAAAATATGTTTTTGTTTGAAATCAAGGATCAGATTGTAGAAGCAGGTACTAGACCCTGATTTAGATAGTATGCTGTTGGAAAGGAAAGGAAGTTGAACCCCCAGGGACTTGTCACCATTTGCAGGTTAGTCTTTCCTGCAGTCAAAAGATAAGGTTTTGGTTTTGCTTAATTTGTGGGCACAAGGAAACCCAAAGGTGACTCTCCATTAGTTGACTATTATCTAAGGAATATGAAACCTCTGGGTGAAACCCCCACTTACTTCAAGTTGAAGAACTTGAAGCACTCACCTTTATTCTATGGGGTAACTTTTTAAAAATAGGAATGACAGATCATTATGAAGACCTTAGGGAGAGTCCCAAAGGCTTTGCAAGTCTCTTCAACCAGCTCCTTCCCTCTCAAAATTGGAATATAGAATACCTTGAAAATAAATCCTGCACCCTTTCAAGATTTATTTTATATGTAGAAGTGTTTTGACTGCTTGTATGTTGGTGTGCATGAGGTGCCCACGGAGGCCAGAAGACGGTATCAGTCAAGTTACCCTGGGCCTGATACAGGGGATGGTTCCTGGTACTCTGGAAAAACAGCCTTTGCTCCTAACTGCTGAGCCATTTTTCCAGCCCCTGCAATATACCTTTTAATGTTTACTTCTTGTACCTTGTAAGATTGTTGTGGTTTGTGTGCATATCTTTTAACATAGAGTCTTGTGTAGCTCAGGCTGACTTCTAACTTGATATGTAGCAGGTGATCACTGTGAATTCCTGATCCGCCTACCTCTACCTCTTGGGTGCTGGGATTGTAGGTATGCAATATCACAGCCAGTTTATTTGGTGCTGGGAATTTTACTTTGTATGAACAAAGCAAGCAGTGTGCCATACCCTGGACCCCCAGAATTAACATTCCTGCTGGTATTTAGTTGAAAAATAATATATTGATTTACAGCCAGGTGTGGTTGCAAATACCTGCTATTCCAGCATTACGGAAGCTAAGGTTGGAGAATCAAGAGTTGGAGGCTAACTTGGCCTATGTAACATAATATCTCAAAAATTTTTTTTAAAGGTGGGGGTCTATGCTTGCAGAATTCCTTATATTGGGGAGGGAAAGCCTGGGACCCAGAGGGAAGATGGTTAATAAAACTAAGTAGGTATCAAACCAGAACTGAAGTTAGAAAGGGGCAATGCAGAAAAGTGATGGAACTTGGGACCCTCCCCATAGTCAGATGAGATAGTTTGGGCATGTACCATTATGGTTTCTGGAAAGTGGCCTTCGATGCCCACATGTGTAATCGCATGATTCTTCCTCTTGCCCCGTAGATGGTCTTTCTGAACTCACTCTGATCTCAATGCCCCTACACCTCACAGAACCATTTCCACGAGGCTGGCTAAAGACACTCTTTCCTGGCTCTCTAGATAGCATTATCTTGTGCTATCTTACCAAGGCTTGTTTTCATTTGTTTACTTGAAACAAGGTCTCAGCATATAACCCTGGCCGGTCTGGAACTTCTTTGTAGAATAGACTGGCCTCAAATTCACGGAGGTCTGCCTGACTGTCTCCCAGGGCTGGGTTAAAGATATGAGTGGCCTCACCTGAATACTTGTTTTAAAACAAGCTCCACATAAAGGTTTTACTCTATCAAGCCAAAAGTCAGCCATAATTCACCTTTACCTCTAAAACCAAGAAGCCAACTAAACTGATTATTTTCCTGTGTGCGCATGCACACACTTGTGCATGCATGTGTGCATTGGTGCACATGACGTGGAAGGCATGCACACCGCTGAGTGGAGTAGAGGTCAGAGGACAGCTTCGTAGCATCTATTCTTCAGTCCTGTGCATTACAAGGACTGGATTCAGGTCACCTGGCTTTCTCAGCAAGCGCCTTTACTCAGGGAGCTATCTCGACAGCCTCTTAAATCGAAATTCCTATTTAATAAATTACTGATTTTGGATGAGTTCGAGGGGGTGGAGGTCAGAGGACAATTTGCAGGTGTTACTGTCTCCTCCTCCACACTGTGGGTCAGGAATGAAACTCAGGTAGACATGCTTGGCAGCAGGCACCTGTCCTCAGAGCCCTCTTGCCAGCCCTAAACCTTGTGCTTTAATGGCTGCCTTGCCCTGCCCTCTCTTGTACATTTTCTCACTTGGGCCTGTCCACAGGTTGTGAAGAGGGATTTATGTTTTCCTGGGCTTTGTTGTCCACTCCAGACTCGGGTCATCCAAGCACATAACCAGTGCTGGCCTGTCTGTTTATGCTTTGTTTGTTTGTTTGTTTTTGTTTTTCGAGACAGGGTTTCTCTGTATTGTTTTGTAGGCTGTCCTGGAACTCGATCTGTAGACCAGGCTCCAGGCTGGCCTTGAACTCACAGAGATCCCCCTGCCTCTGCCTCCCAAGTGCTGGGATTAAAGACGTGCTCCACCAAAGCCCGGCTTAATGGATTTTTTTTTCTGCAAAAGAATGCACAGGCCACACCGAGAAAATAGTAAGCAGATAATGGGCAGTGGGATTCGGAGCTGAAATAGGAGCAGTTGTCTTTGGAGGGTGTTTTCTGGAATGGGGAAGAGTAACCCAATGCATCCCTGTAGGTGCCTGAGGTTCCCTAGGCCGATTGATGCTTTTTGTTTTCTGAGTCTGAGAAAGTAAATCTCAGGTCTAGACACACACAGGTCTAGAAAAGGGCATTTGGTGTAGGAGCACTGAGGCCATGGAAGCAACAGGTAAAAATCAAGGTGAATTGGTCATCCATCACTGTCTATCACTCCCTTGACGTTGAAGTCACATGTACCAAACCTTGATGAAGAAAACAGCAGGCCGGGAAGGCTTGGTTTCAGCACAGTGCCCCTCCCCCACTCCTGACGCAAGCGCATTCCGGTTCTGTGGCAGTTGGGAGTGGGTAGGTGAAGGTCCTTTGGACAGCTAGTGTAAAGGACCTAAAGGGTGAGATGTCCAAGTGTAAGCAAATGAACTCTCCCTGGAAAGCAGATCTGAGGGTTCGGTCACAAAGAGAGGGCTGCGGGTTTGGCAGCAAGTCCAAGAGAAACCAGAGGCTGTAAAGTCAGCCCCAGGCAGCTTGAGGAAGCAGACAGCATGTTGCCCTGTTGTCTGGCTCTAATCTTCCCTTAATGGTTGGTGTTTATGTAGGAGAACCAGGTTTGATGGATCTACAGGAACAACCCACCCTTAAGAACTGTGTATCTCAGGGCGGAGGCTGGAAAGTGCTCACGGTCTGAAAGGTGCCAGTAGAGAACAGTGGAACCTCCTTGTTGTCTCTGAAGTTGTGAGTGAACCTAAGACTAACCCTGCCACACTCTGAGCGCAGAGTAGGACCCCAACAGGCATTCAGCTTCTGATGGCAGATGTGGGGAAGGCAGGCCGGAGCACTGAGTGTTCTTAAGTTGGGTTACTTGCTCTCTCTGGTTCTTTCTCCTCCGGGTTGGCATTTGGATTGTTTTTATCTGACTCTGTCCTTCCCTTTTTCTTCTTTGCTGGGGTTGCCAGGGTTGTTTGCCACTTTTTTTGCAAGGAAAAAAAAAACTGATTGAGACTGCAGTAATGGAGTGATAAAATAGCAACATTTTTTCTTCCCTCTGGAAGCTAGCAGTTTGACTAGAGAAGAGGGAAGAATAGAATTTACCCCCCTGCGGCCTTAGGTAGCTCTGTGAGTCCAGAGCACTCACTTGGAGTGAATCCAGTGCTGTGTCTGTAGCACACATACGGTACTGTGACATTGTCGGGATGGTCACCGCCTGTGTGTTGATTCCCACAGGACAGACATCCTTGACTATCTAGGGTCTGCGTCTACTGGGACATCTATGGTATGGCTGCTTTTCTCTGTCTTTCTGTCATTTCTTCCCTGGTCAAAAAAAAAAAAAACCTGGAGAAGGTAAAAGTTAACTTGGGATTTGTTTTTTTAGTGTCATCCTCTATATTAATATGGTAATGTGAGAATAGAAGAGTGTTTAACACGTGGAACCAAATTAATGCCAGCCAGTTGTTGTACGAATCTTAGGACATCTGAAGTTTGTGGGGAAATCATTTAAAATTAAAAAAAAAATTCTCAAGAGATGGAGCTTGGGTTCCATTATATTAAATGGGCATCAGGGGTGGGTAATTTACCTGCAAAATGAAGTTCCTGCCAAAAAAGAACTAAGATCACAATATTCAAGGAGTTGCATTATCTTAATTTAGAAGAAGGGTTATAGCTGCCTTTTGAATTCCTATTACATGTCAGCAGACACTGTGAAATTGAGGTTTTCATCTTTTGAGATAGGGCCCAATGTCTAGCTAAGGTTGGCCTCAAACTCTCCCGTCTGAATTGTGAGTGACTTCACACTGGATGTATTCCTGAACTATTTGTTGAATGGGAAGGCTAGGAGTCAGGCAGAGCAAAATACATTTTGGCCCAGCTTGAACACTGAAGTTCAAGAGAAATGTACACAGAATGCATAGTTATGAAACACTCTGAAGGGCCGGGGATGCAGCCCAGAGGCAGCATTTGCCTAGACCACTAGAAGCCTTGGGCCAGTTCCCGGTACTGTAAAAAGAGAAAAAGGCCTGATGGGGTCCAAAGGTTTGACGCTGTCGGGTGACCACTGGTCATGTGGCACCTGGGAATAACAAAATGCCAGTTAATGTTTATTTTAGGTGCCCTAGCAAGAAGAAATGGAAATGACCTGGCATGGAAACCAATCTTTTTGGTTTTTGCAGAGAAAAATGCTACTTTACTTGAAATAGAGTTCCTGATCCACAGAGTGTGCCCATTAGAAACATCAGATAGAAGCTATTAAACAAACGAGAAGACTGCCATGAAAGGGTTAGCATGTGTATGGAGGATCTTCTACTTGAAGCTCTTAGGACTGAGCTCCAGCACGCCTTTATTCCCAGAACTTGGGAGGCAGAGGCAGGCGGGTCTACAGAGTGAGTTGCAGGACAACCAAGGCCATGTCTCAAAAAAAAAAAAAAAAAAGATGAAAGGATCGAGCTCCGGTTTTTGTTCCTGTAGGCACCATCAGATCTGTCCCACTTGTGAGACACAGCAGAAACATCCTGGGGTCCACTATGCCCATGGGATTGTGCTTGGAAATAAAATGCTTTTGTACTATCTCCCTAGGGCCTTATTTGATAGTCTGGGAACTCATTTCAGACACTGAAGACCCAGTGTGTTTATCCTGACCCTGTTCGACTTCTTCCTGCAGCCCCTCCATGCTGGGACTAGACAAGTCTACCGAGGCTAAGGCCAAGCAGATAATGCTGAACTGGGCTTCTGTCGTCACTGCCCGGAGCCGGGGTGGCTGCTAAGCACTTGGGTTTCTAAGGAGTCCTTGGATGCAGAAGGAATAAATACATGGCCTGTTAGTCCAACAATTTTTTATTATTATTAGAAAGTACAACAACATTTTGCTTAGAATGAAGTTTTGAGAAATTCAGAAATTATAAATGAAGTATTTATTGAATGTTTCATGTGAGACTATTAACAGTGTGTTTTGTATTTTAGTGAGAAAGCAATTTGCAAATTGTGGAAGCCTCTGAATAACTTCAGATCTAGAACCAATCCTGCCAGGCAGATACTGGGGATGCACAGTGATTGGGGGCGGGCTTTACAGGTCTTTGTCTTGTCTAGATCTGGTTCTGTTTGTGTTAACATAGAGGTGCATTAGGTTTTGGTAAATTAACACATCTCAAAGCCACTACAGGGTTTTGCTCTTTAAGTGAACTCATTTTGCCAGTGGCAGCCATCACCTCCCAATCTTTCTTCATTGTTTATAACCTGAATCTTATTTTCCAGGTTTCGTTCTCTTCTTTAAGCTGTAGGTATTGCAGGTGCACACGCTGCTGAAAATGCCAATGAGCACTTGGAAGATTATCAAGCCTTGCTTTCCCTCTGCTGTCTTAGAGAAGGGACAGTCATCTTTGCTTTTCCCTCTTTTACATGAACCTAGCATGAGTGAGAGCTATGGAAAGCCGTGGGGAAGGAACCGCTACAGCGCTGTGTTAGGGCCATTTATTAGCACTGAAAGTCGTTGTCAGACCGGCAAGATGGCTGGTAGGTGAAGCAGCTTGCTACCAAGCCTGTAAATCTGAGTTCAATTCCCAGGACACACACGATGGAGGGAGACTCCGAACCAGCTCCCAGAAGGTGCCCTCTGACTCCAGCGTGTGCTGTGAGCACATGCCCCCTGCACATAAGTAAGAAACCAGTTATGCTTGTCAGGTTTCGGGAGTCTTGGGGTCTCTGACAATCACTGTCTCCCTTGCCCGTTGCAGTTGAGTGGATTGCAGCCGTGACATTTGCTGCTGGGACAGCTGCTCTCGGTTACCTGGCTTACAAAAAGTTCTACGTTAAAGATAATCGTACCAAAGCTATGGTGAACCTTCAGATCCAGAAAGACAACCCCAAGGTTGTGCACGCTTTCGACATGGAGGACCTGGGAGATAAGGCTGTGTACTGCCGCTGCTGGAGGTCCAAAAAGGTGAGCGCTGCACCCGTGTGACATTGTTCGAGACTGGTGGAGAACCCTCTCCCTTCTTGATTCTGTGGGTCTGTTCCTCCCTGGTTTTCACATACTGCGTTCTGCTTGTCTGAGACAGGGGCTTGCCGGGTAGCTCAGACTTGCAGTCCTGCTGCCTCTGCCTAAAGCTCTGGGATTGCAGGCTTGTCCCACCACACACAGGTTTCCATGCTCTTGTGGAATATATTTTCTCAAATATGCGGTTGCCATGCAGTGAAATTACATCGTTCCCTCACTGAGTTAAACTGAGTTAACCATCATCTTCTTGCTTCACCAAAGATGAAGGAAAAAAATCTCATTGATTGTCCTTTGGGAATTCTCCCCCAAAGGGACCTGAGGAGGAAACTCTACAGCCTGAGTACAATAAGAAACAAACTGAGCAAAAGCTTGTGTTTGAGACAGGATCTTGCTGGGTAGCCCGTGCACCCACAGAGGCTCACTTTGCAACTGGGCTGGCCTTCACTAGTGCGAGTCTTCCTGCTTTGGCACCCGAGTGTGGATTGTAGGTGTGCACCACCTCACCTGGCTTAGACTTCTTACTGGCAAATACCCTAAGCCTTCTTTCAGCTGTAGTTCCTGTAACTAAATACCTGGCACTTTGAATCCTTTAAAAATCCCCTCGATGTAATGAGAATTATACTCTGCCAGCTGGAAGTGACACCTGTGGGCTCTGGGCATGGACTGTGGGATCCACTTCCTAAACATTTTGACACGGCAATGCCCTGGGTGACTTCTGAATTTCAGATGTCCTCAGGGACCCAGTGCTAACACTGAACATGCTACTGTTCACATTTATGAAAAGTGGATTTCCAGAGCTTAATTTCCAAGGCCATAGCATGCTGAGTTGGGAGTATAGGCAGTAGTGGAAAGCTTACCAGAAGCCATGAGTTTGGTCCCTGAATCTAAAACAGGAAGAAAAGAAAAAAAACCCACATAATTTCAAGTACCATTTTCTGAAATTACAGTATGTTAGAGGCTTACCACAGAGAAGAGTGCTACCATGAATTGTGTCGTAAACATGGAGAGAGCTGTATATGATACCTAGTAGGAAATGTGTTTGGGGAAGTGGGAGAGTATTTTATTGTTTTTTAGCTTTTAATGGTGTCTATGTGAGTGTGTGTTGATGTGTTCACACGAGCGCAAGTACCTGCAGAGGCATCAGGGCCCCCTGGAGCTTGAGTTACTTGAGTTATAGGTGCCCAGTGAGTGCTAGGAGCTAGGACTCAAGCTCAGGTCCTTCTGCGGGAGAGCAGTTCACATACTCTAACTGCTGAGCCCTTTCTCCAGCCCTGTTGGGATGGGGGATACATATTTTAGTTTTTTAGTTAGCATGCTAAGGGATGGTGGGCTATATCACTGTGCTATATTACTTTGTTCTTCTCTGCCTCGTCCCAATGTCCTCCCTGCCCTCCTCCTCGTCACCCTTCCTCCTCCTGTCACCTTTTACTGGTCCCATTTCTAACCCCTAAGAGTACCCTTTCAGCTTCCATGTCATGTGCATACTAGTTCTCTCCTGTTCTGCTTCCCCATCCCCCCATCCCCCATCACTGGTGCAAGGAATTATGTTTCAGTAAGCACTTTTAGTAGTAGTTCAGTGTTGTGGGAGCCCGTAAAACAGTTTAAGAGATGATGGCTTGATGTGGATACAGAACTGAACTGTAGGTACTCCTGGAGCTACTTGGACATAATCTCTTGGTGCCTGTAGACTAGACTTGTTTTTAAGGGTGTGCCTGCATAGGCTCCATTCTTTCTGCTGACTAAACCGGAGGAAGTAAAAATGGAGGCTCTCTTCCATCAGCAAGTTAAATGGAAATCCCTAAAACTGCTCACTGTGTATACCTGCAAGCACGGGTGTCACAGGTGACCCCTGTGTGTGTGTAGTTCAGGTGCATTGATAAATAGGAGTGCTATGCCACGGGCTAACATTCTCTGAGAATTAGACTGCCTCTGGGAAAATGGGAGACATCTGCATAAGCATAGGCAAGTATTAGGAATGCTTTGTCAATGTGTGAAGAAGGCAGTTATGAGGGAAAGGGGTGGCTGAAGACTCGGGCCCTCCAGGAATGAGTCCATGAGGAGAATCAGTGTGAAGACTTTGCCTCATGCTTTGGATCATGGGTCTTTCAAGTGTAACTTACAGTGGGTGCTGGCTGTGAAAATGGAGAGAAATGTACAGGATCAGTGGAAAACAGTGACCTTTTCAAAAGACTGGTTATTTTTATTAGTTTTAATTATATGTATGTGCATGAGTATAGGTGCTCACAGAGTTGGGTCCCCTGGAACTAGAGTTATAGGGCAGTTGTGAGCCACCTGACATGGGTTCTGGGAACCACACGCAGGGCCTCTGGAAGAGCAGTGTGCACTTAACCCCTGATGTCTTGCCAGCCCTGACCAGGGACTGCCTGGTCAGGGAGACTAGGGGGGAAACTACAGGATCTTAGCATGTGGTTTAAGGGGAGGGGGTGTTTAACAAAAACAAGGAATTCGGTTTGAATAGCTAATGTTTTCACAACAGAGCTAAAGAGTTCAGTTGCAAAGAGTGGGTTTGAGATGATGTTGAGTGGAAATGTGCGACAGCAACAGCAGCAGCGGGTGTGACGTAGGGACACTGTGGCAGCAGAGGCCAGCAGAACTGGTGAGTCAGGGAGGACTTGATAAGAATCAGAGATGAAATCTCCAAGAATGTTCTGCATTTGGACAGCTCAGAGTCAGGAGATAGGACAGGCCCTGGGGGAGAAGTAAAGATAGAGCATCAAAGTGGGAAGGAGGCCTTTCCTTCAGGGCTCTGGTGCTGAGCTGGCCTGTCAGCACAGCCAGGTGAGTGAGTGAGTGACGATGGGAGACTCGGATTAAGCAATTAGCAGCTGACCTTTTGCTGCTATTTCAACAGATGATTAAAAAGTCTGTGTCCAAGTCGGTGAAAGCCTATGTTATAAAAAACAGGTGCTACCAGTATGAGCCTCTGTGGTGAGAGTAGACAGGGAAACAGGGCTCCAAGGCAGGAGGGAACGGCCTAGGGTTGACTTGTTCCATGAAGTAGATACGGACTGAGGAAGAACCAAGGATAGGCACAAGCTAGTGCTTTCAATGCCTGTTAAACTGTGAGTAGCCCAACTGCACACCCCAGGGACACTCTTCTTCCTCGTGGTCATGACCGCCGTGTCCTGTCCCCAGCACATGCGGCAGCTACAGCAGTTCCAGGAGTCAATCGGACACCCTCTTCTGGCCTTCACGGACACTGCACACACACAAGGCACTGATGTGCATGGAGACATAAAATAAAAGTAATTTTTAAAAAGTCTGCCAGGACTCAGGGAGCTCCCTGACCTGTTGTGTAAGCACAGCAACAGCAAGCCCTGTCCTGCAGAAGCTGGCTCTTTGGAGCCTCTCTGGAAAATGCTGGCAGAGACTAGCTTGTCCCTCTCCCAACAGGCACAGAAATATCAGCTGTGCCTGTGATGTGGAATAGTAAAAGTGAAGGCACATTGGAAATGTGTAGTCATATTCCCAGAAGAAACAGTCTCCATGAACCATTCAGAATGAATTACATTAAAGGGGAAAACACTAGGGGCTCAGGAATGAGCAAAATGGAAAGCCTGGAGCAAAGATTGCTTCGAGGATGATTGACACTAGGGTCCCAAGCAAATTGCTCCTTTCTTTTGTTTCTTTGAGACAGGATCTCATGTAGCCTAGGCTGGCCTTGAACTCTTGATTCTTCTGCCTCTGCCTCTGAAATGTAGGCGTTATATGTGTGCACCACTACACCCGACCACAAATTGATTTTAATGTAATAAACTTGAACTCTTGCAAATAGAACCATGGGCATAATTGTGAGTTCAACCTTCAGCACACACCTCCTTTTTTTTTTTTTTTTTGGTCTATTTATAAAGAGGGGAAAGGCATGGGTCACTAGAAGAGTAGCCAGTAAGTGGTCAGAGCATGCGTCACCAGATGTCAGAGGGAAGTTCGAGTAGCAATCTGGATTTTTTTCCTCCTGTTCATTTGCTAGCCAAGAAAAGTAGGAGCTATGATATGTGGGAGTCAGGCATCACTACCCCTCTGCAAGCACAGACTGATGTGGGGATCAGACCTTTTACAGTCTCTCTCTCTCTCCCCAGTTTCCGTTCTGTGATGGGGCTCACATAAAACATAATGAAGAGACTGGAGACAACGTGGGACCTCTGATCATCAAGAAAAAAAGAAACTTAATGGACATTTTCAGTGCTGCACCCCAGAGTGTTGTGATGTCACCTGATTGTTTAATTAGAATTAATTAATTAATGAGACGCTCACTCTGTCTGATTGTCTCCTTGGGTCCTAGATGTGGTTGGTACCTTGCAAATCACAGCTTTCATATTCATGGCATCAGCCTTGCTATTGGAGCTTTGTGGTGCACATTTTTGAAAGAAGGAGATAAGAAAGAAAGGTTAAATCAACCTCATGGTATATGGGTCATTTTGATCTTGTAAGGATCTGTTCTTTTACAATATGGTCTTAGAATATAGTTGTATCTTGAGGTTAACGTATTAAATTATTCTCAGAATCATGTACATGTAAATTGTACTTGTAAGTTTAAAGAAAAAAATCACCTTTTACATATTACTTAGTTAACTTGGAAAGTTAACTAAGTGTGATGACATTGCATTGATTTCTTACAGCATAGGAGAAACCTGACATGACCTTGACTGTCCCTGTGGCCAAGTTGATAACTTGGATTCAGCTTGTGTTTTAATGCTTTCAGTCAGAATTAACAATGTTATCTTCTTTAAAGTCGCCCAGGTCAGCAATAAAGGGGCAACAACTTCTTGTGTTTATCTCTGTGGATATTTAATTGATCCACTCTAAACACCAATGGCAGAGATCTAGACCACAGTGATGTCAGTTAAGTAGTCACAAAGAGTGCTGGAGCGATGACTCTGTGAACAAAGTGCCCATGTAAAAGCCAGGCAGCCATGGTAGCTTACCTGTGATTTCAGCCTTGGTAAGGATCAGCAGAGCTACCTAGCCAGCTAGACTAGCCAGAGTCAATAAATCTGAGTTCAACCAAAGACCCTGCCCCAATAAATACGGGGGGAGCTAGTAAGGAAGACACTGGTGTCAACCTTAGGTCTCCCTTTGAACACACCCACACACATGTGCACCACACACATGTGACTTGATTATACATGTACATCACACATCCAAGTGTGGAAAAAGAAAATAAAATGTTGTCTTTTAGAACTTTTACCCTCAAGAGCAGAAGGGCATCAAACTGAAGGCCTTGATGGGATTCGATACCCGGTATTGATCTCAAAGCCACACAGCCTTGCAGAGAGTAATACACTTCAATCAGAAGCATAGGAAATTCTTACTTCCCACTCTGAATAATCAAGTGCATGGCTTAAGTTTGTAAAGAAACTACTTTTGAAGATAAAAAGAACCGCTTCTTCATTTAAATTATACAGTCTTTTTCTTACAAAGCCTTGAAGACAAGTGTTAATATGCACAGTTGCTACTCTGAACACCTGAGACTTCATCTGTCCTCATTGACAGGCTGAGCCCTGGTAAGCAGTGTGCTGTCTTCTCTATACCACTTACTGACCTCAGCAAACCACTTAGCTTCTCAGCCTAAGTGTATGAATGTTGCGTGTGTTCATATGGGGTATGTGGTCATATGTGGAGGCCAGAGGTCACTGTTGGGTCTCATCAGTTTGGCTACAGTGGCTGGCCAAGGAACTCCACTGTCTTTCTCCCCCCCCCCCCCAGCACTAGATTCCAGTGCTGGAATTCTAGGTACACCTAGCTTTTTATGGGGGCTTGGGGATCCAGACTTCAATCTTCATGCAAACCACAGTAGGCACATCACCCACTAAACTATGTCCCCAGTCTGTTTCTCAGCCTTTTAAATAGAGGAAGTTGGACTAACTGAACCTTCCAGGGTTTGTCTTCAGATTTTAGACCGACATAAAATGTGTGGCTGTTTCCCCAGGAAGGGAAAACCACTAGAAGACTGTCAACCTGGATTCACTCACTATCTGCAGAAAGTCTTGATCTCTTAGTGTTTCCAGTGTGAGGGGCTATGTTTAGAGATGCAGTGACCTGTGTCTGACAGAACTGTGCACCCCATAATTGGATATCACAGCGATGTAATCGACAAGATAAACATTTAACTATAGCATTGTATTATAAGGGCTATTTGATAAATGATAGCTGCTCCCAAATAGGTGGATTGTTTTGTTTTGTTTTGTTTTTGCAAACATTAGGGTGGTATTTGGCTTTAAAATAAACATTGCCTAAGGTCTCCAGTTAGTAACCTAAGTGGTGTAGGCTGTCTTTGATAGTGCGCTCTGCTAGTTGACAAGATTTGTTAGACACGGGAGTCTTATTGTGTAGTGCAGGCTGGCTTTGAACACAGACCTGCCTCAGCCTCTTGCATGCTGGAGTCACAGGCCTAAGCTACCATGGTGGACCTGTCCCTGACAGGCAGTCTCTTCACTTCTCAGTTTTTAAATAGACATGATTGTGCTGAATGACACATGAGACATTGGTCCCCAGATTTTTCCTACGGTCAAATGTTTAGCTATCCAGGAGGAAAAAATAATAATAAAAAGTTAGCATGAATTTACTTTTATTGTAAGATAATTCTAAAATCTGGTACTGAAATATCCTTCAATGAAATGCTGGTAAGTGGTACCAATTCCTTATTGTTGTTGTTGGTTTGTTTTTCCAGACAGGCTTTTTCTGTGTAACAGCCCTGACTGTCCTGGAACTCTTGGTAGAGTAAACTGATCTTGAACTCACAGAGATTCACCTGCCTCTGCCTCCCAGGTGCTGGGATTAAAGGCATGCCTCCCCCCATCACCCAGCTAAGTACTTTTCTTGACAAAAGAATAAAATGGCAGCCATATATTTGTCCCTCCCATCCTTAATTGCTCTACAAACTCACAAAGTCTGAGTTGCACCAAGCCATGATCCTATTTAAAGCTCTAGAATGTGTTGATGTCAGTGCAGTTTGATGCTTGACTTAAGTTTCAAATCTGATAGTGGGTTCAGCATGTTGCGGGCTCATGGGAAGTTAGTAATTGATTTCAATGCTTTAACCTTTCTGCTCACTTTACCATCAGGGGTCCAAAGCAAGGGTAGTGCTGCCTGACTTCAGTGACAGCCATACCAGATATGCAGGAAGATTCCCAAAGGTGAATTTCCACTGAGCAAAGCCCAGGTTTATTACCGGCAGGCATAACAAGTCCAGGCCAGGAGTCAGCTCAGGGTTCAATCACGAGCACCACAGACTCTCAAAGTTCATAGAGGGATTGCACACATGAATGCATTAGCTGAAATCAGGATTACCGTAGAGAACAAAGATGAGTAAGATTTTTCCATTCGTCAATAGTACTGCCCATCAGAGGCATTACCTCCCTCTCATGTATCCGGAATTAGTTATTCTCCTTCCTCTGACAAAGATACTGGAGAGTTTGGGGTACATTCCACTGTGACAGAGAAATCTGAGGCAGCTGGTCACATTTTTCACCCTTCCAATTAAAGCAATCTCTCTTAGAATTCTGCAAACCCTAGGTGACTTCATGTGCCCTTTGGCTTCAGTCTTGGGTCAGAGTGCCACCTAGGCACAGCCTCCGGTACTGACAACACAAAACCCTGAATTACATTTTGTGATTTTTTTTTTTAGCTCATCTGGTTGTGTACTGAAGTCCCCGACCTTGTGTTCCCCCTGAAGGTGTGGGGGGGGGGGTCCGCATTCAGCAGCAGCTGACATTTGCTACTTCCCTGTGGTCTGGATACCTGGTTTGGGAAATAACCAGTGGTGTTCTTAATCCCTGAGGGAAAAGTTTTAAAATTTGACCACATTAGTGCCTAGAGCAGCATTCAGTGAATTCTGTTTCAAGTTAACACCTGCAATGGAATGCAACTTGAAAGGCCACAAAGACAACTGCCTAGAAACCAGCATTCCTGTTTTCTCCTCTCCAAACCCAAAAACCCATTTGGTCTCTTTGTTTTACTTGTTTGTTTGCTCTATTCTGCCATGCTACATCTAATATGTTAATTGGGTTGTTACAGTTTTTGTGTTTTTTTTTTTCTTTTGCAACTAGGAAAACATGCTGAATAGCTTGCCCTGACAGTCTTGGCTCTAACGTATCCAGTCAGTAGTAAAGCTGTGACTTAACTGGTATAAAAACCAACCGGTACCTCAAACAAACAAACACAAACAGTAAACCAGCTCTGACCCAGTTGAGGTTGCAGCTACGTGGCAGAGTGCTCACCTAATGTGGCTTGGTCCCAGTACTGCAAAGGTAAAAGCCGCACACCTCTGTCCGGGCTGTTCTGAGCTAGCATGCTCAGGCTGTAGCAGGGAGAGGAGTGGTGTCCCTGATGCTGCAGCTTTCTTGACACAGCGCATTGCCCCATGACGAGGTCACCTGCTCTGTTTGTCCTCACTCCTTCCTCTAAAAAAAGTACTTTGGAGCTAAAGAGATGGGTTAGAGGTTAAGAGTATGTAGTTCGTGCTCTTACAGAGGACCCAGGCTTACAACCACCTGTAACTCCAGCTCCAGGGGATTTAACACCTCTAGTCTGCAAGGACACTTACACACATGTTCATATATCCATATACAAACGCAAATGCATGTGCATGATGCATTTTTAATGTGTATGCATTTGCCTTCTTGTCTGTGTGTACCACATGAGAACAGGGGCCCAGAGAAGTCAGAAGAAGGTGTCAGATCCCCCCCCCCGAGATGGAATTGGCAGTTGTGAGCTGTCTGGTGTAGGTCTGGGACCCAGGACCTCTGAAAGACTACCAAGTTCTCATAATGGCTGAACAATCTCCAGCTAATCTCCTACCCACTCCATAGTCAGGAGAGCCTCTTAGTGGCTGAGCTGACCACTGTCTACGGTGCTGCTCAGACAACCACACACGCCGCAAGGTGATAGCCAGCCTTGACAGCTTGCTTGTCTCCCATTCCCTTGACCTCACTTGACACTAGTCATAGCTTCCAAAGCTGTTCTAAGAGATATGATGACAGCAGCTGCTGCCACAATTGGGGTGCCAGGCTCTGGGGATGGGACATACTGTGTTGGCATTCTCGTTGTTAGTTATAACAGGACCCTTTGAAGCAGTGGCCCTTCTATGTCAGTCTGGGCTTTGTCCCATTGGAGACCAGGGCTCTTTGTCTGTTTGGCCTTCCTCGTCCTCTAGGATGTGTGAAGGAGTTTCTCCACCTCCCATTATTTTCTCCCATCTTTCCTGTGTGCGCTGTTACCTCTGTGTCCCTGACAGTCTGGGCAAATTAGTCAGCTCAGAGTTAGACAGTATAATAAAATATATACTTTATTAACTGTAAGCAAAAAAGAAACTGCTCTGACCAAGCTTGACATTGCTGTTATTGGTCTACACAGCCTGATAGCCATGTATCACCTCCTTCGGATAGCAGGGATATGTATAGAGATTGCAGGCTTCCAAACCAGACTGAGATTCAAGCCCCTACTCACTCTCAGTTTGTTGAGTTCTTGAGGTTATTCTCTGCAAAGTTTTACATGTCAACAGGACATAGGATACCCAGAAAATTGGCCAGTCAATAATTGGTGGTATAGGTGTTTGTGTGAGCGTTTTAGAGTAAGATGAAATTAAGTCAATAGATAAAGCAGATCCATCAGCAAAGCACCACAGACCTCATCCAGCCCTAAAAGGATCAGGAAGGCTGGAGGATGGCCCAGTTTCAGAGACCCTGGCCCTGGATTCACTCCCTGGCTTGGTTACACACTAGAATCAAGAAAGCAAAGCAAGAAGATCACAAGTTTGGGGCCTGCCTGAGCTATACTTTAAAAGAGAAATTGTGTGTTTCCCTGTCTTGTAAGGGACAATTGGAGATTGCATTGTCATCCCTGATTGTTAGGGCAGAAGAGGCCAGAACATGCAGGGATTTACCTACCAGGACCTCATCAGAGAACATAGAAAATGAGTGCCTGCTGCTTAGGCGTCATTATTACATAATGAGATACCCAAGCCAGATGATTCCTGACCTCTGTACCGTGTTGGCTACACCTGGATCTAGTGCTGTCTCAACCAGCAGTTGTGATTCCACAGTTATTGGCCAGCTTCTCAGGTAGTGGCTGTCCGCCCCCTGCCTCTGCTACCAAATGTAGTTTCTAACTAATCGCTATCATTCTCTTTACTAATAAAATAAGACTCAGGAGTCAGAGGCTGGGGTGAAAACCTGGTAGCTCAGAGAGGTTGAGGAGCAATTAGCTGACCTTCCCCCTTGACCATAGATAGCATCCTTCCACTCCACCACACCAAAAAAGATGGTCACACTCAAAGTCCCTCCTCACTACTTCCTGTGCTTCTCTATCCGTCTTCCAGACTCTCTCTGGACAGATTACTTTCTGTCTACTAGTAGCTGGCCGGGCCTCCTGACCCAAGGTTGATTTTTATTTAATCAACAGACAACACAGTGTGATCGAATGTGCCGAAACAAATTTTTACTGATACTAGATTATAACGACAATAAAAACTGCATGGGGGCATAGCTCAGTGAGAGAGCACTTCCCTTGCATATGTACAGCCCTGGGTTCAATCCCCAGTACTGCAATAGAAGAACAATCGCATATATGGATTATCGCATGCAATTGGGATACAATTATTCATCATACTGTCTTTAAATCAATGCAAACATCTAAATCTTCCAACACTTGTCATTTTTCTTTTTTTTTTAAAGACTTTATTTATTATTTATACAGAACTCTGCCTCCATGTACCCCTGCAGGCCAGAAGAGGGCACCAGATCTCATTATAGATGGTTGTGAGCCACTATGTGGTTGCTAGGAATTGAACTCAGGACCTCTGGAAGAGCAGCCAGTGCTCTTAACCTCTGAGCCATCTCTCCAGCCCATTGTCATTTTTCTATGGTAAAAGAATCCATCTATGAGTGAAACTTCCTGTTTTTCTTCACCTGGGTTATTTCATTTAACATGTTGTCAAGTTCCATATGTGTTATAGCAAATGGCAGGTTCCACTGAGTGTTTACAGGGACCATGTTTTCTTTGTTGACCTGTTGGCAGACACTGCAGTTGATTGCATGTCTGACCACTGCTGCAATAAATGTAAGAGAACACATGTCTGTTGTAAATTAAGATACATCATATGTAATTTCATAGGGGGGGTTGCGTTAATCATATATAATAATGGTGCTATAGCACTTGGTCAGGTCATTAACCCTCCTGAACCCTTGTAACACAGGAGTAATAGAACTGTGTCACAAAGTGGTCATGAAAACAAGACACAGGTCATACACTTGT